ATCAAACCCAGGGCCTTACAGGTGCGAGACAAGTGTTCTTCCACTGAGCTACAACCCTAGCCCTGGTCAATTGATTTTTGACAAGGGTGCCAAGTCCATTCAATGATGAATGATGAATGATTTAACGAAAGAATGATCTTTTCAACAGATTCTGTTGGAACAATGGATATCTACATGCAAAAGAATGAATTTGAACCTGTCCCCACACTATTCACAAAACTTAAAATGGATCAAAAATCTAAACATAAGAGCTAAAATTATAAGACTCTCAGAGGTGTAAATCTTCATGTTCTTGGATTAGGCATTAGTTTCTTAGATATGACTCTCAAAACGTAAGGAACAAAAGAAAAAAATGGATAAATTGGACTTCATGGAGTTCATAAAATTAAAAACTTCTGCACTTTAAACAACACTCTCCAAGCAGTGAAAAAAGAAAAAAATCAACCAACGGGATGGAAAAAAATATATTGCACACCATAGATGTGTTTAGAATAAAGAACTCTAACAACTCAATAATAAAAAGAATAATAGCTGAATTAAAAATGGGCAAAGGAGCCAGGAATGGTGACACAATCCTGTAATCCCACCTGTTCAGGAGGTTAGGGCAGGAAGATTGCAAGTTCAAGGCCAATGTGGGAAACTTATCAAGACCCTGCCTCAAAATAAAAAAATAAAAAGAGCAAGGGATGTAGCTCAGTGATGATACAGAGCCCCCTAGGTTCCATTCCCAGTACCACACACACACACACACACACAAAAAAAAGGCAAAGGACCTAAATAGAAATCTCTCCAAAGGTACACAAATGTCTGATGAGCACATGTAAATATATTTAACATCATGACTTGTCCAAAAAAATAAAAACATCAGGAAGAACTTCTCCTCACCCTGTAGGATAATTAATCCAAAAAGTCAATAACAAGTACTGACAAGTGTATGAAAGAATTAGGACCCACATACACAGCTAACGGAAATGTAAAATGGTGTAGTCACTATGGAAAACAGTGCATCTGTTCCTCAAATGACCAGAAGTTCTACATATAGACCCAAGGGAAATGAAACATAGCCACACAAAAACTTGTACACATATGCATATAGCAGCATTGTTTAGCCTAAAGGTGGAAACAACCCAAATGCTCATGAATGGACAGACAGATACACAGAATAATGTATATCATTTGGAATCTCATTTGGCAATAGTAAGTCATGAAGTACTGATACTTGCTACAATATAAATAAACTTTGAAAACATCATACTAAGCAAAAGAAAACAGACAGAAAAGGCCATTTGTGCAATTCTAGTCATGTAAAATACCCCCAAATAAGCAAAACTATAGACACATAAAGTAGATTAGCGGTCACCAGGAACTCAAAGAGGAGATATGGGAACAATAGGGATTGACTACTGATAGGTATAGTATTTGTTTGGAGGGAAATGAAAACGTCCTGGAATCAGATAAGAATAACAGTTATACAACCTATGAATATGCTAAAAAAAAACCCACTAAATTCTACTGTTTAAAATGGTAAAATTTTTTATTAGCTCATTATAGAGATACATAGCATTCGGGTTTACTTTGACAAAATCATACATGCAAGGAATTTGATTTCCACCCCTTCTCCCCTTTCTTTCCCCTCCCCCTTTTCCCATTCTTCCCCCTTTACTGACCTGCCTTTTTCTTATTTACTGATTTTTTTAAAATATTGTTTTAGTTGTTGATGGACCTTTGTTTTATTCATTTATTTATAAGCAGTGCTGGGAATCAAACCCACTGCCTCACACAAGCAAGGCAAGCATTCCACCATTAAGCCACAACCCCAGCCCCATATTTATTGATTTTTTTATTGGTATTTTCTATATACACACAGAGATGAAATTCCATTTGGTACATTTATACATGCATATAGCATGAATTTGTTAAATACATTCCATATTTTCTCCCCTTTCCCATCCTTCCTCCCTCTCTCTCATTCTCTCCTCCACTGATTTTCTCTATCTCCCCGCACTGCCTTCTTTCCCTTATTTTGCTGTAGCTTTCACATATGAGAGAAAATGTTCCACCCTTGATTTTCTAAGTCTGACTTATTTCACTTAGCATGATGTTCTCAATTTCCATCCATTTACTGAAAAATGCCATTATTTTCATTCTTCTTTATGGCTAAGTAAAACTCCATTGTGTGGATATGCCACATTTTTCTTGATCCATTTATCTACTGATGAGCATCTGGGATGATGTCATAATTTAACTATTGTGAATTGTACTTCTATAAATATGGATGCAGCTGTATCGTTACAATATGCTTATTTTTGTTCTTTTGGATAAATACCAAATAGTGGGATAGCTGAGTTATATGGTGGTTCCATTCCTATTTTGGGGGGACTCTCCATACTGGTTTCCAGCGAGGTTGTAGTCCCACACCAACAATGTGTCATTGTATCTTTTCCCCCCGATATCTCGCCAGCATTTATTATTTGTGTTCTTGATCATTGCCGTTCTCACCGGAGCGAGATAAAATTCCAGTGTAGTTTTGGTTTGCATTTCCCTGATTGCTAGAGTTGTTGAACAACTTTTCATATATTTTTTGGCCATTTGTGTTTCTTATTTTGAGAAGTGTCTGCTTAGTTCTTTTGCCCATAAAAGGGTGTGTTTTATGGAATGTAAATCATAATTGCAAATAGATCTGGAGCTGGAGCTTAAAGACAGAGCACCTGTTCAACATGCTCAAGGCCTAGGTTCAGTGCCCAGCATAATAAAAAATAATAATAATAATAATTAATTAAGACTTTCACAGACAAAATTCTAAAACTTGACAGAAGGACACAAAAGAATTTCTAAACAAATGGAGACAGTCCACGTTCTTAGAAGGAAAAAAACTCTGTTATCCTAAAAGATAGCCTTTGTTCCCCAACTCTATGAACTTTATGCATAGTCAAAATTCCAGCATGACGTTTTAGGAAATTAACACTGGCTCCCCAAAAAACGCTTAACAGAAATGTTAACTTTTAGAATAGCTTTGAGTAATTTGAGGATTGGAAATATCTAAATTGATAAGTTTTGGACATTCGGATTGGATCTATCTGGTTTTGATGCCTTATTAAGGGTGGATTTTTAATGGCCTTCTCAATAATTAAGTTTTGCACATTTTCTTCAGTTAATGTTGGAAGTTGACATTTTGCCTGGAAATCATTATCTCTTAGTGTTCAAATGTAACCATAATATTCTTTTATATTAATTTAAATCTCCCTATGGTTATTTTTGCCTTTTGCATTCCACTCTTTCTTGATCACCCAGGTTTCTAAGATTATTTCTCTTTTAATACTGGTCTTTTCAAAATACTGCCTTTTAAATGTATTTTCTACTCCTCATTGCTGTTTGTGCCATTTAAGTTTTTTTAAACTTCATTTTACTGCTTTCTAGATTCATCTGGTCCATCTTTTTCTAGTTTCCTAAGGTGGAGCGAGGGACCGAAGCTTGAGTCAAGGCAAGACAGGAAGTGGAGAGGTGTCTGGAGATATGTGGCCACAGTTCCTCCTGCTCTGTCCTGTGACTGATCACCAGTGAGAACTGTGGATGAACTTCACATTAAAAGACCCCTGGCTATTCCCTATTTTTCCATCTTGAGCTCTGGCACATCTCTTGACAGAGCAGTAGACAGAAGGTTTTTGTTCCCATGGAAGACTTTATTCTGAGGAAGACTCAACTCTAGGGCCAATACCTTAATCCCTATGTCATAATGCAATTGTGAATTCATAGCTTTCCCCTCACTCATATTACGAGTGGCTAGGCCTTAGGAGCAGAAAAATCAGGACAATTGAACCATCTAGAGACAGGCCATGGGGATTAAATTTTGTGTAAGATACATGGTCAGATCTTCCTACGGGGGTGAAGGGATATGTGGGTCATCACCCTGGACCTTACACATCTTGGGTGGGGAAAAGGACACTGCAGCCGTGCGTGCCTGTATACCGAGCCATAGAAAGAAACAGCAGTCTTAACTAATGGATGCATTTCCCATTTTATTTGCGTGACAGAGTGGAGGCCGTCTCATTTCAACTAAAACTAAGAAGAAAGATAAGAAAAAAAAAAAGAAGAAGTCACCGAAAAAGACAGATAAGGTGGGTAGAATTCCACACAGTTAAGAGAAATCCAGACCATTTATGACGTGAGGGTGTGGGATTCTGCCTCTTATGGATCCAGAGTATAAACCACCCAGCAATCAACTCAATATTGGCTCATTTCCCATCTGTCCCCTTATTAACCTGGGCTCTCTGGGTCTGGCTCTGTGGCATAGAGAGTAATTGGAAAGAATGGCGTCCGTCAAAGGATGCAGGGGCTAGAAGCAGGAATGTGAGGACCTGAATTGGATGGTAGAATGTTCCAAATATAGGAAGACTGGGAGACACATTATATGGTGAAGGTGCTGAAAACATATGACAGTATGGGCTGAGGCTGTGGCTCAGGGGTAGAGCTCTCACCTTGCATGTGTGGGGCACTGGGTCTGATCCTCAGCACCACCTAAAAATAAAATAAAGGTATTGTGTCCACCTACAACTAAAAACTAAATGTTAAAAAAAAAAAAAAAAGCTCGCTTGTGGCAGAGAAAACTCAGCCAATATGTTTTGAGATAGGAAGTATTCAAAGAAAAACAAGGCTGACGTGTTGGGAGGCCAACCTCAAACCCAAAAAGTCCTGAAGAGATGAATGGAAACAAAGTCCCTCACCTCCTCCCTGCACCTCTCTATTTGCTCACTGTTTTGATCTATTCACTAGTGAGGTAGTCAAGAGAAGGACACTGGGACTGAGGCTGAGGTCCCCGAGTGGCAGTGAAAGATCCCAACCAGGTCTCCTGGCTCCTGGTTGGTGTCCTGCTAATTCCCTTGAACTCTCCAAGAAAGGGCTGAAGGGATGACAAGCTGACATTAGGAAAGAGGATCCGGGCCCCTGACAACGTTCCCTGAGTGGTCTCTCTTATCTCCATCTAGAAAAAGCAAACAAAGGAAGCCATCAAGATCCAGGCCTGGTGGCGGGGCACCCTGGTGCGCAGGACACTACAGCATGCAGCCCTCAGGGCATGGATCATTCAGTGCTGGTGGCGGACCATACTTATGCGGGTAACAGAGAGGAAGCGACGGACGGCACTGATTGACTTTGCATGCAGAGAGAGAGCAGTGGTCAAGCTCCAGTCTTTGATTCGCATGTGGCGCATCCACTGGCGATACTGCCAGGTGCTCAATGCCATTTATGTCATTCAGTGCCATTGGCAATGCCACAACTGCCAGACATGTGCTTCCCTCCGGGGCCACTGTGTGATCACCTCCACTCACCTGCAGTTCCACATTGAGATCATCAACAACTAGAGACTGGCAGAAAAGGGGCACTGTGTCTCCTGACCCCAGTAAACATCTAACCTGGTCTTGGTCTGTCTTATGGTATCCCCAGATAATTGGAACCTTGAGACTTGGGTCTTGCTTGTTCTCCCTTGGAAAAAAATTCAATGGAGTTTCCTCCATGTGTCCACTGACCCTGTATTGGATTGGAAATGGTCCTGTGCTGCTTACTCTGTTGTCAAAATAGAAACAGAAGTCCCAGTCTTCCCTGACACATGATAGAGCCAGAAGTCCAAGTTCCCACTCTTAGCCTCATTCCTTTCTTCCCAACCAGGGATGGAGAAGACAAGAAGACATCTGCCTGAAAACTCTGCATATATGGATGAACTATGAGGCTTTTCTCTGTTTGCCTGGGATCCGTGTCAATTGCAGACTAGGATGCCTCAGTTTCCTCTTTGACAAGCATCTAGAGAGAATGCCAATATATTTGGCTGACTCTCCTGGGAAAAGTGCCATGTGGGCCCAGATGAAGGATAGAAGGTTGGCCTTAGTAATGGATGGTCCTGGGGCCGGGCATGCTAATGAGGAGGTGATGACTCTGGTGACTAGTGAAAAACAAGTTCACAGCACCTCAATTCTTTCTTTACAACTCCTTATCCCAAGAGTTGTGCAACAAACAGTGCTCCTTCTTGTTGTCCCTAATCCCTGGTCTTTTCTCATTCTCAGTGATTTTATCATTGACCAAGATGATGCTATCAAAATCTTTAATTCTCACCTCAAATAAACTATCCCTGCTCCCCTCCTCAACCACTCATATCATGGTCATACCAAAGCAGCACTATTCAACAGAACCTTCTGTGATGATGAAGGTATTCTTTAGCTGCCCAATCCAATATGGAAGCCCCTAGCCACATAAGGTTGTGGAGCTCCTAAAATGTGCCTAGTGTGGCTGAGGAATAGCCACTTAATTTTATTTAATTTAAATTTAATCACTTGTGGCTAATGGCTACCCCCATTGAGCGGTGAAGCTCTACACCTCATTATTACCAATAATAGTTCAATTTGCTCTATTGCTTTCTCTAATGTTCCATTCTCTAATTTCTTCTTTTCTACTAGTTTGCCTTTTCAATAACCTCAATAGAACATTTCTTCAGATGTGATAAGTTCTTCTGATCTATTGACAGTTCCATTTTTTTTTTTACAGCCATCACCCCTGACATGCCCTTGGATATTTTTTTAATCTAGTTCAGACTCTGTGGTTAATTGTTGTATTCTCTCCCCTGCACAATTTGAGTTCCATTGGTTCTCTACCCCCACTCCCACACATCTCTCCCTCTCCCCCCGCCCTCCCATCTCTATCTCCTCTCTCCCTCCCTCTCTGTAAGCATGTATGGGATGAATCCAACCATCTCCCTGTTCTATGCCTGCAGAATAGCAGAGCATAGCTTTAACAAAACAACCATAAAACAGTCTCAGTCTATATTTATGACTTCATATTTTAACTGGACAAAATTCACAATAAATTTCTCACATGTCTGCATTTCCATTGTATGGGTTGAGTAGTTCATACCATCTCCTCTCCAAATGCCCACATTTAACTTCTTCTCCCCTTGAACTTGGTTTATAATGTCACCACCCACTTAACTGGAGAAATGGAACAGACTAGATCCCCTTCTTCCTAACAACTCATTCTCCATCCCAGTTGTATCTGGACCACCCACACTACCTTCAATGACCAGCTGAATAAATGAAAAGCCTTTATCATTGGTCAATGATAAAATCACCCTGCTGCCTTCTCAAGTCATTTGATCCCAATTACAAAACCCCACTATCCAAAGTATCAACCTCTCCCATCTTTAAAAAATACTTCCTAGACCAATATTCATTCTAGTTCATAACTTTTCCTCATAGAAAAAAAAAATGTGGTGCCATTAGATCTACTTCTATTCTTCCTATTTTTTTCTCCAATCCATTTTAGTCTCCCTTTCACTCCACTGGGACTGCACTGATCAACATCATGAATGTTCCATCTGGCCAAATCTGATGGTTATTTCTCTGTTCTTACCTTTATGCATCCTTTCTGAGGCAGAGTGCAGAGTTGACTGCTCCTTCCTTATTGAAATGTGATTTTTTAAAAAGAAAAAAACAGGAATTACATGATTTAATCTATATATATTTGGGGGTGGGGGTACCAAGAATTGAACTCAGGGGCAATTCACCACTGAGCCATGTCCTCAGCCCTATTTTCGACTTTATTTAGAAACAGTCTCACTGAGATGCTTAGTGCCTCACTGTTGATGATGCTGGCTTTGAACTCGCAATCCTTCTGCCTCAGCCTCCTAAGCCACTGGGATAACAGGCATGCACCACTTCGCCCAGCTAGAATATATTAATTATATTAATATAAAATATTAAATATTAAAATATATCTCATTAATATATTAATGAGATATTTGTGAAAGTAGAATCACAATATTATTATCATATCTTTCAAAATTCACAGTAATTGCTGGGCATTGTGGCACATGCCTGTAATCCCAGTGGCTCAGGAGGATCACAACAAATATATACATATAAAATTTGTTGTTGATGTTGTTCATTCGATTTTATGTTTATTCTATATCATCTATATATGAAGAGCTTCATTATAATGAATTGAATCAGGGAGTTCATAACCCACTTGAATCTAATGTATGAAATATGATATGTCAAGAGCTTTGTAATGTTTTGAACAACCAATAAAAAAAATTTAAAAATTAAAAAATAAATAAATAAATGTTTAATCAAAAAAATAAAAATAAAAATAAAATAATGAATTGAATCACATAATTTTAGAGTCTGAGAAGTCCCAGGATCTGCCATTAATGTGTTGGGGACTCAGGAAAGCCAATGACATATTTCAAAGGCCTAAGAGCCACACAGCCCTTGGTGTAGATTCCTCTTGTCTGAAAGCCTGAGAACCAGGAACACTTAGGCAGAGAACTACTGCCTCACCTCAAGTAGTAAGGCAGAGTTAATTTAACTTTCTTGCACATTTTTGTTCTATTTAGGCCCCCTCAATAGATTAGATAATGGCCACACATACTAGAGAGAGCCATTTGCTTTACTCACCAATTTAAATGCTAATCTCTTCCAGAAGCCGCCTCACAGAGACACCTAGAAATCATGTTTTACCAGTCATCCCACGGCCCAATCAAACTGACACATAAAATTATCTAATATATATGGAAAGTTGCAAGCCCTGTGTTAGCTAAATAATCTTTAGAGGAAAAACTAAAGCAAGAGGGATAATTCCTCTACTCAATATTGGGCTTAGTAGATACAGGAATCAGTTTGTATTATAAAGGGATAGACATGTAAATCAATGGAATCAAAGAACTCAGAAATAAACTCACAAATATACTCAATTTTTTTTTTTTTTGCAAAGAGGCAAAAGTAATTAGATGGAAGAAAATGGCATTTTCAACAAGAAGTGATGCTAAAGCAACTGGATATCCACAGGCACCTCAAAAATAAACTTTGACCTAAGTCTCACCATAATGCAAAAAAAAAAAATCAAAATGGATTACCAATTTAAATATAAAATGTAAAATAATAGACTTTTGGAAAATGCAGGATGTCTAGACAGAGTTCTTACACTTGACATCAAAAGCAAAATCCAGAAAAGTTGGACTTCATCAAAATGAAAGACCTTTTGCTTTATAAAAGACTTTGTTAAGAGGATGCAAAGGCAAGCTATAGGATGGTAGAAAATATTTTCAAATCCCATATCAGATGAAGTTCAAGGAAAGCCAAAGGAGATAGAAGCCAGCTACAGAGGCAAAGACTGCTCTCCCAGCTGCCAGCTTTATATCAACAGGTTATATTAGTTCATTGGCATCATTAGTACATATTGTTCATTGTATCACAAGCAGTTTATAGAGTTAGCAACATTATACAGCTTATTCCTTAGTTATATTCTAAGTTGCAATGCGCAATGTTAGGAGATTTGTGTAGCCCTCAAGAAGGTCCACTGTATAATGTTACTGTTATGTGGACAGGTTTAGGCTCAGTGAAATACTGTGGTTGTCTAACAAGAGCCTCCTCATAGAGGGTATTATCATAGCAGCTAGAAATAGAACCAAGATTTCTGGGTCTCCAGCAGAAGTCAGTGGCACTATGCTCTTCAGTCAAGATAAGAGAGGAAAACTCAAAGTTTTCTGGGGGTTTTAGATAATGAAACCCACATGATGATATTTCCAGGCCCCCTTAGGGGAAAAGTTAAACTGATGTCAAGAGGTTTAGAGAAAAGTACAATGACCCCTGGTGCTTATCTTTTTGTAGGCAGGAACCTTTGGGCCATTCTAGATGCTGGTGACCATGATTTCCACTGCTGAAAGCATTGTAGATATTGGTGGTGCCTACAACATCACCACTTCCTGAGGGTGTAGGACCATCCACATCTGAGCCATAACAGTGGCAATCACTCCTGCCTAAGCCTGAATGGGTTATTCAACAAAAGAAGCAGTGCATACCAAATAGAAAAAAAGAAAAAGACATACTTTGTTAATCCAGGACTTGTTACAGATAAAAATATTACAACCCATAATCACCCATAATCTAATAGTCCAGTTTGGCACATCAAAAAAAGGCTTCCAGAGCCTGAAGACTAATAATGGACCACCTCAGGTTGCATGCCAAGGCCATGTGGACAGGAAGCCAAAGAAATACTCCATATACAGTCACGGAAAAAATGTTGCCCTAGAGGTACCCACTAATAAAAGAGAAGCCCAACTGCTACTAGGCCTCTGAGAGTACTGGGAACAGCATGTACCCTACCTTGGGTGTTCTTTTGGCTCCCTTAGACAAGGTGACCAGCAAAGCCATCGGCTATAAATAGAGCCTTTGTAACAGCAGGCCTTGGAAACCATTCCATAGGCCATGGCCCACGCTTTGTCTATGGAACTTTTAGAACCTGCTAGCCTGATGGAATGATAGGTGTCCTCAACATCTATGCATGATGACTGCAGTTTGCAGCAACAGAAAACTGTCACTGAGGGACATCAGCCTCTTGAATTTTGAAGGCCTGAAGCAGTCACTAGATACATTCCTCTTGAAGAGCAGTATATCTGCTCGGTTTTGGGTACTAGTGGAGACTGGGCACCTTATATCTAGAGCCCCACATGGGATCTGCAAATTTACCTGTCCATTCTTTGGGTACACCCAAATCCAACCAATGAAATTGGCCAGGCTGCCACAACTTTCTTTTTTAGGGGAGTATCGGGGATTGAACTCAGGGGCACTCAACCACTGAGCCACATCCCCAACCCTATTTTGTATTTTTATTTAGAGACGAGGTCTCCCTGAGTGGCTTAGCACCTTGCTTTTGGGGAAGGTGGCTTTGAACTCACGATCCTCCTGCCTCAGCCTCCTGAGCTGCTAGGATTACAGACATGCACCACCGCACCTGCCCTACTGCCATATCTTGCCACATTTTTTACTGACTATTCCTGTTTGAAGAATGGCAACTGAGCGACTGGATTATCAAAGGATTCCTTGTGTGGAAACAAGACTATGGCAATAACTTATTGCCTGGAAGGGAAAAAAGGGTGACTTGTGGTTCAGGCCACCAAGATGGGGTCCTCTAACTCTTATCTGAAGGTGATACTTCTCCCAGTGCCTCCCCTCTATGGGATTTCAAGGGGATGGCAAATAGAACCCAGGAGAACAAGAGTGCTAGGGTCCCTTTAGTGACACCAGGAATAGCTTCTCTCTCCAGTTAGGTGGGCAACATTATAAGACATGTCAGGTTTACAAAGCTGGACTAGATGACTGAGCCCCAAAGTGTCAAGCAACAAAGATAATGGGTGTGTGCAGAGATAGTCATCTCAGGGCTGAGACAGACAGAGAAAGACCAGTAACTACACCAGAGCAGCTCAATCCCTGCCCAATAGGTGGAAAACACCTGAGACCCCAGGAGAGGCGGGGGAAAGGGACACTACCCTGTCAATCTGCTCTTTCAACAGGGACATTCTAGTAGAGACCTGAAGTGCCTTCTTTAGGCTCTTTCAAGCTGTGGCCACCTCTGGTAACCCGACGAAATCTTGAATCTCAATCCATCACAGTGCTCTCTCATCCTGTCAGTGATACACACCTGTGCTATAGTTTGGATTTGAAGTGTTCCCCAAAGGTCCAAATGCTAAAGGTTTGATTCCCAGTCCACAGGGATGGAACCTTTAAAAGGTGGAGCCAAGTAGGAGGAAAGTTAGATCATTGGGGACAGGACCTTTAAGGACCTCAGTCTCTCCTCTTTCCTCTTTGCTTCCTGGGTGCTATGAAGTGAATAACTTCCTCCACCATGTGCTCCCACATGAGGCACTGACTCACCACAGGCCAAACAGCAATGAGGCACTCTGGAAAGCAGTATGAAAATTGAAGCTTCCATATGACCCAGCTATCCCACCCCTCGGTATAAATCCAAAAGGTCTAAAATCAGCATACGATAGGGATGCAACCGCAACAATGTTTATAGCATGCAATTCACAATAGCCAAGTTATAGA